GGGAGCAACCTTTACAATTGCAAGGTTCACTGCTCCTCTGTATCTGCCTCTATCTGCCTGTTACCTCAGTCTCTAACCACTGAAACCACCATTTGAGATTTCTTACCAAAAAATACTAGACACAAATGGTGTATCAGGCCATTAAATACTAAACAACAACTGCATTTCAGGTTTTGTTTGTTCTGCCATCAGATTTTTTGTGATATGCCCTAAGAGAAAACTGCAAATAATAAGCTGGGAAGACCTACATGTACCACTAATCCCATTAAGAATCTGTGGCTTCAGGAGCTCAGAAGTCCCAGTCAGTGGTTGATTCTTCAAGCTACTTAGCTCATCTTAATGGATACACAGAAGAAATGCTCTTTGAATCAACTGCTGCCTTTCCAATTCCAAACCTTTGACACTGCAAGACATTTCACTATATACAGAGCCAACAACATCCTGAGCATCAGATACTGGAAACATGGAAAACCAGACTGTATATAGGAGTGGGGTAAGTATTTGCTCATCCTGTAACAGTGTATGAAAAAAACCCAGAGAAAACAGAACTTGGAAACTTCTTAATGCTAGTTAAACAGTCAGCCCCCACACCCCTCACCCACCCCTTCCAAGAGAAGTAGGATGAACCAATTTGTAGCAAGAAGACTTTTCTTCCTGAGGACCATCTTGATTAGACTGACTTGCAAAGACATATTGAGAAATGGAAACCTGCTGTCTCATTAGTTACAGAGGAACAGGCAGATACAAAAGGTAATTATCATATCCTGCTTTTAGCTAGAAAATGAAAAACACATTTCTACCTCCTTTGTAGACATGCAATCTAATGTGAAGTGTTAACAAAAGGAAAGGTATTACAGAAGAGTGCTAGACAGTGACAGAAAGAAGAGGCATCTGGTTGAGCCCAGGACCAATGGCTGTTGTTAGAACAGGGTTGTCAGTCATTCTATTACTAATCAAAAGAGAAATGTCAGGAAATTTCCCTAAAATCTCTATAGTTCTGAAATGCTGCATACAAAAAGTCAGGGATGGGGAGCTAGCAAAGAACCTGTTTTAATCATCTCTGTTCTCTCTGCGAGAGGTGTTTCATCACCTTTCAGCATCTATAGCCCCAAAGCTTTTCTAACACCATGGAAATATGTGATTGAATTAGACAGAAGGAAAAATCCATTTATACAAAAGAATAAGTAGAGTCTTGTACATAATGAAGCAGTTGCTGCTTTGCTTTGGGTTATGCTGAAAAGGCCTACTTTGAGGCACTGAATTCTTGCAGCCTCAGGTTTGTTTAGATGAAAGGAACATTTTCTGGCAGCTACATGAGCAAATGAGTATCCAGTGATCCACCCTAATTTAGGTTATGTAAAACTTAGGAGGTGTAAGTCACACATGTGTCTTCCAAAGGCAAAGCCTGGATTGCACTCCTGATGGTTAGCCTGGCTGCCAGTGTTCTCTTCCCTCCCACGTACCTGTTCCAGTAAAGATCTGTTGAAGAAAAATTACTTCACATCACAAGGTGTGACATGATATAAATACTTTGCAATGATCTAAGCTGCCTCAAGCAATCATGGCATTCGTCCATCTGTAGCCAAAATGTATTCTTCCCATTTTAGGTGTTTTTTTGGTGCACCAAAAACATCAAAACTGTGCTTGGAAACGTGGTGCACTGTTTGAAGTGGAACAGAACATGAATACAGTATTTTGAAACGGATGGGAGAGTGGTAAGGCCTGTGTTACAAAGCAGAACCATTGTGCTGGAGGTCCCTAAGAAGGCTCTAAGGGCTTGGTTGCCCAGAGAAGAGCAGTGACATGCAGAGATACCTAGACAAGCTCTGACCAGCCCAGCACAGTGTAGACATGTAACCCAAGCTGTGCTATGAGCGTGTTGGGGGAGCAGCAAGGGCTGAGTTGCTCTGAAGGGGACAGTGAGCCAGGAGCTAAGGGTGACAGGCAGGTAAGGGGGTCAACTTGCTGACAAGGGGCATGCCCTACAATACCTGAAAAACCCAAGCAAGGCAGGTCAACAGTTCAGGTCACCAAGACAAGGCAGGTCTGAGCTCGAGCCAGGAAGCCAAGCCCATAGATCAGGATCAACGAGGGTACATGGCCAGATGCAAGTGTGGCTAAACATGGCTCAGGCAAGGACCAAGAATAAGAGCCTCAGCTTAAATGGACAAGGTCCCAATGCTTGCATTTCCCTTATCCACATTGTTCTGGCAGAGCATTGCCTGACATACTAAGTTACAGACCTTCTGTAACAATCTTTCAGACAACTAGTGAGACAGTTTGACAGAACTTAGAAGATCTGAATTTCAGTGCCAGCAACCAGTGAGAAACTGAAATATTTGGTGCAAGTCATCGCACTTCTTTGTGACTCAGTTCTCACTCTAAACATGGGAATTTATGCCTTTGTGAAAGTGCTTTAACCTTCCCACACTAGGCACTGTATCATCATTCTCAGATTCTGTATAAAGTAATGACCTCTGGAAATATAAACCAGGGCAAATTATGGAAGTACATCAACCAGCTAGAAGCACAGGGGGTCACAGGTACCTACCACAAACTACCACTTGCACTTGTTGGAAGAAAACCAAACCAGAACCAGGTGCCCACAGCACATCACAGCAGGTCCTCCAGCTGTGCAGTGCTGTTCACTGCTGTGGTTTCAGAGGAGCTGCCTTTAACTTGTTGCACATTAGTTCTTTCCACATTTCAGGCTAACCTCTTTTTCTCTGGACTTCTGCATCCATGTCATTGACTAGCATGCTCACACTGCACTGCACCCCTTGCTGCCCTTGTCATGCACCTTTGGAAGCCATACAGCACATTCCTTCCTTCCTTCTTCACTGTCTTGTCTTTTCCTCAACGACTATGCATCACTGCTGGTGATTTTTATCTGCAGAAGTGAGACAGAGAAAACCTTGATTACTTCAATTTGGATTTTCCAGGATTTCTACTGAGGGATCCAGTGTATGGATTTGCAGGTGTTTGGTTTTTTCCAATATTCTCTGAATCAGAAATTACTGTTCATATGGAAGACAGTATGTGATGACACTTGCTGGTACTCAGACAACAGAAGATCTAATTTTACACATTCTTAAGGATGCTCAGCCACAGTGTAGTTGGAATAACAAGTATCTGGGCCTAGCTCTGTGCTCTGTTTCTTCTTTCTCATACTTGTAGAGGGAAAAGCCCCAAGCTTTTCCAAAGTCAGGAACTGGGTAAGTGATATCACCTTCCTCAGACTTCGAGTCCAAAACCTTTTATTGAGAATTTGTGTAATTCCAGAAATAAGCACACTTAGATGAGAACTATAGTCACCATTCTCAGGATGCACAAATGTGGTAAATAGATAACAAGCAACTTTTTCCTTTGTGGCTATATAGATACAACTGTTTCATTGTACCAGGGAGCTGAATTTTCTGTGGGCACGAATGAATTTTCTATCTGTACATATGGAAATTAACCACTGTAGGCTGTACTGTACTTTCAGGGAAAGTTTCATCTCCCATGGTTCTGAACTGCCACCCCACCAACTGTGTTTTTACTTTTAAATGTCAAAAAATGTACGAACATAGATGTAGGCATAGATTATCATTTTTATTGCTCCTGTTAAAAAGTCAGTGTATGAATTATGGCACTATGCAGTAAAAATGCAACATTACTGAGTGCTCTAACAGTATGAGGTCCATTGTGACAACATTTTAAAACATGAAGCATGAGCTTCACTATGGATTTCCAAATAAAAAAAAGTATAAGAGGTAAATGGATTAATAATAAATGACTTATCTGGAATTTCAATACTAAGTGAATACAAAGTGGATTTGCAAGAACGAAACATAGAAAAAAAAAAAATCCCAGCTCCTGGGCTAATCTCCACCATAACAAAACATCAATGCCTATTAACTCTCTGCTTGGGGACCAAACAAAATTATGTCACTATTCTTAACTCTGAAGCAAACCCAAACAACTGGATACCCATGGGTATTATTGCACAGTGGTGCTTTACCTGGCCTGCAAACTACTTTCACTGTTTTTATATATGTAATCTTACCTGAAATATGCATTACAAAAAGACTGGTGTGCTAATTAGAACTGCCATACCCTTTATGAAACTGTTTAAGCATATCTGGCACAACATGCAGTTCTTGAAATGCCTCCACTCCTTCAGAGAAACACTTAAAGAACAACATTTCTTACAGGATGGGTGGACAGAGAGTACCAAATAAAGAGAAAAAAAAAAATGACAGCAAGCATTAGTTTCCCAGCAAAAGGATGTCTTACATCATACAGCAGATCAGAAATAAATAAGATGAAACTTGAAGAGTCTGAATATAAATCCATGGATGATGGTGTAAGTGTCACAGGCTTCACCATATCAATGTCAGTGTATTTTGTTAATAACAATGCAGTTACTATATACAGTATGTTTATCAGATAATGCCAACTAACAATACACTAAATTAATGGTTGTTAGAACAAAAAAATATACTAAAACAACATCATAAAAAACCAGATGGCAACCCCCCAATTATGCATAGTTACATATGATAAAGTCCAGCCTCCTGGAGTCCAATGGATTGACACCTTCAAGCATCAGGAAGCATTTGTCTGAAGCTCCAACAATGTAATTAACAGAACCCAGTCAAGCTGTAGGGGAATTACACTGTGAAAAATTGCAAGTTCAATCACAAAACTCTCTGTAAATGTTACCACTGCATAGGTGCAATGGGGCCAGTCATCCATTCCAAGGTTTTACATTGCCCTATTTCTTCAAAGAACCTTCTAAAGGATGTGCTATTTAACACAGTGGTGAACCCAACACAAAATGTGTGACAAATCCAAAGCACTTAGGTTTAGAAGCACTTATGGAAGAATCCATAACATATTTACAGTGTACTGTGTATGACTACACACACTATGAAGTTTTTCCTACTTATTATTTATGTGGCATCTTACTGTTCACAGTATTTCTATGTACTAAGAAGACAAGAGTCTCCTCCATGAGAAACCAGCTCCTCTGATATGGAAATCTCCCATGCCTGTAACTTGCTTTGCTACAGTAAGGCATGTACAATGAAGGTGTTAAATCCCCATGGATCATGACAAAAAGACTCAGTTCTTCCCTTTGTTTCTTGCTCAGTTTCTCTGCTCCAATACAACTGTGCATGTCAGTCAGCATCCATGTGCTCTTGTCTAGTAAGTAGAGTCTTCCCATCTGTATCACCAATCTTTTTTTGCATGTCTTCCACTGCTTTCAGCAAAGCTGCTCTCTCCTGCTCAAGAGTGAGAATGGACTGCTTCAGTTTGCCTTCGTTGGTCAGTAAGAGCTCTACTGTGGCTTCAAGGTTTTGGATTTTTCCATTAGCCACCTATCAAAGTAAAAAGAAAAAGGAAAGAGAGGAAGGATGGGAAGGGGAAAAAAGTAAATTCATTAAGGACTGAAACCATCTTTGAACAATTTTTTCAAGATACATGAATATATATATATTCTTTAGAAATCATGAAAAATTGCAAAGGTAAATACAACTCTTTAGAAATTATGAAAAATTGCAAAGGTAAATACAACTATGAATGTTATTAGATCTGTGCACTTTAGACTACAACTATGATATTGCCTGTAACAAGAAACTTCCCTCTCCCAACTTGATTGCTTTGATTAGTTCACAATTAAACTCAAAGTATAATGCAAAGTAATGAAATTAGAAAGTTACTAAGTCTCCAAATCATATACTAAAGAACTGCCAAGACAAGTTTCTGTATGGGTCAGTTGGGAGACATTTTTGGCCAGCCACATTTGTTGAATTCCACATGCTTTGCAAAGCAAAGTCAACTCAGCTGTTAAGCTGCACCCTCATTTCATCTCCACATGGAGTCCAGTGAATGCCAGTTTGGAGGCAAAATGGAAAACACATACTGAAAAATTCCAAAAATCCTCCATCAACAGGCTGCACATATTGGCATTCTACTTCATGGCAAAACAAAGTATTACATCCTTCAAACTCATGAGATCTGTAGCTGAGGTACTTTGACAACATCAGATACTTGTTTGCAAGTTTCAGCACTAGATAACACCTGGAGACAAGAGCAATAAAACTTCAAGAGCTTATGTTTCAAAGTCACTAGACCAAACACCAGTCTCTCTTGTGACTTGGTGTAGGATGGTCTCTTCTGAAAGGGTGTCTAAATTAGAACATTAATTAAATATGAAATATAAATTGTACCTGCAGCTCTTCCAGGAGATCAAAGTTTTGTTTGCGCAAGCTGCTGTTTGCCTTTTCTAATTTATCCAGTCTCTGATTGTCATTTAAAGATGAATCTATAAGCTCATCCTGAAGCACATGATACTCAACTTCATAAGCTTGCAACTGTTTGGCAATATCCATTTCAAACACCTGTTGTATATAAAAATATTATTAGGTGCTGTGCAGATCAAAAACATAACTCTTTCAAGGCTTTAAAATCTATGGATCTAGATCTAGACATATACCTAATCACTGCATACAAAAAAAGGACTTGGTTTTTTGGCATTCACACTTCCTACTCTGGAAATGTCAAGACTGAGGAAAATGAAATAATCTATCCTTACACTAATACACTTAACAGAAACATTATGCAATGTCAAAGTAGATTTCTATCACTGTTAACTGTGAATCACTGAAATGAATGCTCAGTCTTACAAAAGAATATTAAGAAAACGTTTTATTTTAAAAGTAGAAGAATAAACTGAGTTGCACAGAGTGACCCAAAGAAAAAAACTGCTATTGTATTTTCCTTTTTCTAGGTTTTGGCAAGCATCTGCCTTCAAATTATTCGTAAATATGACCCCAAGATCCCTAAAGTATTTATGTCCTCTAAAAGTAGTGAAGAAGGTGGTAAGTTAAAAGGACAAGTGTGCCAATCACAGAACATAGAAGAAACAGAAGTTGATTTAAAAATGCATCTGAAAAAATAGCCTGAGAATAGAAGTTCAAGGGTTATTCTTTATTTTAAAACCTCTTGTACTTCATTCCTTTTAGAAACGAGCCAAATGCCAAATCCTGTCTTAAATACCTGTTGAAATTACAAGAATGATTTCCTATTTTATCTGCTTTCTCTACAAAACAAAAACATCAGTTTATGAAATGTTTCTGTCGCACGTTACAAGGGCTATAAAAATTCTCTCATGCTTGTGCAGCAGCAGAAACATATATACTGAGCATTTATGGACAGAAGGTTGGGTTATGATTTTGAGTTTGATTACACATATTGAACTTTCATTTTCTGTAGATTTGAGCATCTCTGGTGAACACACCCCGTTGAAATTTCAAAAAAAACAAGCAGTGCAATTAAACAGGGCAGAAATGCTAATCCCCTCATGACCTCTGCCACTTCCAGCCTCTCTGCTCCTGAGGAGGGAGGGAAATCCCTGCTGTCATAACCAGAGTATCAAATCTGAAAGGGGGAAACACAAGGCAAATCAAAAGCTTGACTTTAAAACTAGCTAACTGAAGGCACATTCCGGCCTCAAATTTCATTAATAAAGTCAACATTTGTAAGTCAACTTGTGCTTCTGAAATGAGACTTGGAGGGTAAGAGTCTTCAGTGAAAAAAATCCCCAAGTTAAACTAATTTTCATTAAAGGTTTCGTAAAGTGATAACTAACATGTATAAATACAAAGCTGCTATAAAAGTCATCTGCTTCCAAATGCTTTCAACATCTTCAGAACTGCAATAACAGAATTCTCAGCTTGAAGTGGCACACTGTTGTGGTTTTTCCATCAAGAACTTGTTAAGAAAAGCATTCCTTTGCATTCTTCTTGTATGTTCAGATTATTTCATACCTGACTAATGGTCTTTTCCATCTGTACCAAACCCAGGTTGGGGAGAGTGCTTTTAATAAAATCAACAATAGTTTCTAGGTTCTCATGCTGCAGAATCAAGGGCTTGTGGCTTCCCAAAAGGCTTAAAGCCACTTTAAATATAGCTTCTGATCCTTGAAGAAACAGCATATCTGTGAGAACAAAGAAAAGACAGTATATCAAGAAAACACATCTTTTGACAAGAATATTAAAACAGAAAAATGTCCAAGGACAACATCTTCGCAGGATAGTGACCTGGAGCATAGATATACTGTGCCAGACATGTCCTTTTGACTATGGCTTTAGAAGTTTCATAGGACTGAGATTAGTACTGTGAATAGCACACTTGACTAACACAATCATTCATTAATTTGTTTTGTGAGTTTTCACAAAAAAAAAAAATCCAATTAAAACTTAAGGTAAGTATACAATAAACCAGGCAGACAAGTTTGTCAGTGTTGCCACTTTCTGTGCATGCAGTAGTTAGTGGGTTTTTTTGATGTCCATGGGAATATGAACCAAACTCTAATCCCGATGCCCTTTAAAAATCCTAATTCATCACATACAAAGTAGCCAATGACACCTTAATAAAAAAAAATAAAATAAAGCAAGAAAAAAAAAAGACTAAAAAGAAAAAGAAAAAAACACCACTGGCAAAACTATAATAAAATAAAGCAAGAAAAAAAAAGACTAAAAAGACAAAGAAAAAAACACCACTGGCAAAACTACAGATATCTCTGATGTAGTGAAGAATATATAAAAACCAACTGCCTTTCTTAGTAAGAGCAACCTGTTTCTAAACTTGTATCCTAATGAAATTCCCCCTTGTGCTCTTTTGCTTGTAATGTTGAAGTCATAACTCAATTCACTCTCTCTTTTTTCCTCTGAGAAAGAAAAGCACAAGTAATAACTAACCATATATCTTGCCCTTTGTCACCATTTGTCCTAAAAGTGGTGCAATATTTTTCAACTCTGTGCTGACTTTAATGTGAACTCCAAAGGCAGGAATGATTAAAAAGTGGTAACACAGCAGGCATGTCCCCCAGGTCTCTACTGAAAGTGAAAACTATGGGAAAATGGTTCATAGGGAAAGCTCTATATTAGGACATGGAATGCTGAAGAAAGCTAGGAAATAAAGTGAAAAAACCCAGCTGAAAATAATGCATATTTGTGCTTCAGCACCTGCCCCATAATGACATGTAGATTAGCTCAAGGTGACCTAAAAGTTGTTAATGAATGTCTATATGAGCTGAGCTGGTAACACAGGGCTGAAATCCCTCTCTCCTTTAAAACAGCAAGTACTTAACAAAGACCTGTTTCTTATCCTCTACCCATGCTTCCCATTACATGGCTGCCAGCCAACAACAATGCAGTGAAGGTACCCAAATTAATGTCAGCAGAACTGCCAGTCTACAGGATTAAAAAAGAATTTTTATCTACAATCTTGAAACAAAATAAACACTATTCTATCAAGTCTCCTCTATTAATAAGTAAACGGGGTAAAAGAACACATCTTTCTTAATGCTATACTTTCATCAGATCCTGCTCAGGAGAAGTGTTGAAAGTTTGGACATATAATTAAGAAGTTAAAAGCAGTTTTGATATTTGATTCATAAAACAGTCTAGCCCACTTCTTTTAACATATTGCTTGTACGAGTCCTGCAAAAAGGATGGAAATCCAAAGGAAGTGGTCTGTAACAACTGTATTAAACAGCAGTGAGCTAGCTTCAAGCACCAAGAGTTCAGAGATACCATGTAGAAAGCAGCAGTGCAATCTGAGAGTCTTAGTAACCTCTAGATCAGTTACTTTCATCCCAAAAGTTCTAATAAGTGAGTGATGAAGATGTATATATGTTTCACAAAAGTGTATGAACATATAGGTCAGAAATTATCGGATGCCAACTTGCCATGCTGCTAATGACAGCAAAGTGACAGCTCTAGCCTTTTTCAGGTTTAAAGTTGTGTTTCAGAGTCTTTACTATGGGTAAAGATAATATCTTGCTTTCTAATGTAAGAGAATGTCCAGTGTTCTTGACATACATAGTTCCAGTAAAAGCTTTTTGAAGGAAATTACTAAATACTTTGAAACATTAAAAACTGCAAACATGCTGAACTTCCTAAAAACCAGATTTTTCAGAGTCAACAGTTTCATCACACATGCTTTGCTTTTCTTGATCTAAACTCAGATGTATGAAGGCCATGCATCTATGCTTTCTAATGCAAAATCTTTGTTTTCTAAAGCTCTACAGTTCTCCAATGACAGAAAATACTAAGCTGTGTATTAAGGCAGAAATCCAACTACACTGGATACACAAGGCACTTTGAAAAGATAGGACAGCTGGGGACTGTCATTTGCTTTCCTCCTCTCTCTTCCCATTTTACTAAAACACTGCACACTCCATTGTTTTTTCTGTTGTTTTCCTTCTGTTCATCACTAATACGTAAAATATTTCTCCTGAGTGTCTGAAACAGGTTGGATAATAGTGCTGTTTCTAATAACAAGATTCCAAATATAAGACTTCAAAAATAACAGAAGTTTTGTGAAGAATTACCAAACACTCTGGATACAAATCCAAGGGGAAACTGGGAAGCAAACATGGTGAGAAACCAGGGAGCAGCATACAGACTGGGGCCAATCTCATGTTCCTCTAGGTGGTTGTAGAGATCTCTGTGGTAGTCGTGAAGAAGTCGAGACAGTTGGTACATCTGGATCTGCATGGAATAACAAGAAAGATGCTAAGAATAAACATGCTTTAACACTCATAGTAGCAAAGTCCATGCTCCAAACTTATTAGAAACAGAGAACGGGATTTGTCAGCTATGTTTGCACAGCATTGCATGAAGAAAAGAAAAACCCAAGCTGGGTCACTTGTGAGCCCATGAAAGGCCCATTTGCAAGGTCATCTGAACCTCATACAATGCACAGAATTCTTCCTATTTATGCTTATTATGCTTTTGGTTCAAAACTAGTGCATTTAAGATCACGCATTCTTTTCCCAGATTATCCTTCCCTAATTTTGAGAACTCAATTTATGCTCACCTTCAGGTTTTGACAATGTTATTTATATTGCATTATTATGATTTAACATTACCATTAAGTCCTACCTGTAAAATTGTCATGTCGGGACGATACTGTTTTCTCAGGCCCATGTCAAACATGAGAAACTTCAGCATTTTAAAAGCATCTTCTTCACTCATATGAAGTAGTAAAACTCCTGCTACAAAACTAAGGCCCTGGCAATATCCTACTTCCTGGTCCAGAAGTGAATAGGCCTTCAGAATATTGTAGAGTGACAGCTGCCCAGCTCCCAGCTGTGCTGAGAAGTATGGATGTGTTGGAAACGTGCGCCCTGTGAAAAGAGCTGAAGTTAGCAACTTAAAATAAAAAATAAACAACAAAACCCCCCAAGCCTCGCAATGTTATCAAATTAAACAGTCTTTCAAAAATGTAGATTCTTTTGAAAAGTAGATTCTGAGCCAACTCACAGGGAGACTGTAAGAAACTTAACGACTGACTCTCACACTCTACTACTGCTTTGTTACAGTCATTGCAAAATTAGAATTGTCAAGGGGATGGGGGACAGTCTGTTTGGAAACAGCTGAATACCTGGTACTTAGCAGTGGTCCCTGATCAGTCTGTTAAAAGGTTTATAGGTACTGGTTGCCTGTAACAGTGGGAGGCAGAATTCAGTGGCTTGATGAGTCACCCAGTTCTCCCTTCGTGATTAAAAAGTGTTTGGTTTTAGACAACTGTTAGAATCCAGGCACAGACTTAGAATTTCCAAGCTATCTGGGCTGGGGTCCCTTCCCTTTCTCTTTTCTTCTTGTCTTTCTTTTTCCAGTCAATGCATTTTTTCATGCCCCTCCTCGCCTTGGTTCCTCACAGTCTTACGGGCCCTTTATCCTTTCTTTCCTGCACCATGAAGCTCAGACTCTTGCTTGAGCTGATACAGTTCACCAACCTGGCAGAAAAATCCCCTTTCACATGGGGTTAGTTGTTCTGCCCTGTCACTCATCTGTGCTAGCTCCAGGAGACACCTCGTGAACACCAACATAAGTGTTGGTGCTTGGAGAGTGGGAGTCATATGTCAGAGCAAAACCTTCTCTTGGTCGCAATGGGCTTTTGGATCTATTCCTCATGTCTCTAAATACCAGCCTAAGGTAAACTACACTAAGTGTAGACCTGTAGGAGCACAACTGAGCCATTTCTAGTTCTAAAACAAGATACTGACTTCCACCCCAGACTAGCTTATCTGTAAACTTTCGTACAGCATTTGGTGTCCTTGAACCAAACCAATGCAATGAGGCAAATTACACAGTTTGACCCATAAAATTTACTCAGTGAGTAAAAACTCAATTTGAAACACAGGAAATTCCACCTATCACTGAAAAAACCCTTTTTTTTAATTATTGTATGGGTGGTCAGACACTAGCACAGGCTGCCCAAAAAGGTTGTGGAGTCTCCATCTATGGACATATTCAAAGTCTGAGCAAACATGATCCTGGGCAGACCTTGTTTTGAGCAGGGGTGTTTGGACTAGACAATCTTAAGAACTCCCTTCTAATCTCAACCACTCTGTGATTCTGTGAACAAAGACATTGAAGACTTCACTTTTACAGATTTTTTTTCAAAAACTTTTCCAAAAGGGAATTTTTCATTTTTAGGAAAAAAAACATCCACCTATCAGATTTCCTCTGTGACATACCTCAACAGAGAAGAAATTTGAATACCTCTTTTGTTCTAGAATTAAGTGGAGCTTGTTTTTTGGTTGCCCACTTGTTAAATACCACCCCACCCTTTAGCTCCTGGAATGCTGCTGTGCTGCCAGATAATATCAGAGCTCCTGTTTCACAAAAACAAAGCCCAGGGCAGAGTCCTCCTGCCATCTGCTAGCTGCTCTAACCTGTCACATGGGACACTGGCATTCAGTTCTGAGTAGGTCTCCCAAGCCATCGAGTCAGTTGAATGTTACAAAAGAAATATATTTCTAGCTTTCAAATGAGAAGGAGCTTGTGTCCCTTCGCTTGAATGACAAGTTACTACAGCACAGTCTAAAAGCAGAGCTGTACTGCCTCACTCATGCAGCAAGGCTCCTTTCATGTAAGTAAGGAAAAAAACATACAAGTTTAGCAAGCATAGAAATGCAAAGAAGTTCTAAAAACCAGTAGTAAACTGAAGAGGATCAGAGCTGCTAAACTCACAAGCTGATTTCTTTCCAAGTGCCCTGGTGTTGACTTAATTAACAATTTTAGCTTTTACTTTGGAGAAAAGACCTCCTGGTCCTGCTCAAAAGAGACTCTAAATGAACTGTGATACCTCTAGAGCACGAGAATGAGAGAGGAGTACCTACTATAATATTTTTTTTAGAATGGAATGAAACAAAACATAATTTTCCATTGTGTTCAGCAAACACTCAATGCTAGATGGTTTTCTACACTGATAGCATCTTGTGTTCAGCAAACACCCAGTGCTAGATGGTTTTCTACACTGATAGCATCTGGAAGTCAGTTTACCCTACCTTATTGAGAGCAGAAATCATTTACTGAACATGACTTCAGGACCTGAAATTCCCAGTGACTGCAGTGGTTGTGCAGATGGGGTCACAACAGTAAATACATATAAAAGTCTTCAGAGAATTATGTGGTTTTTTTCTAGTCTATGTAATGAAATAGCACCATGACACAAACTGGGCCAGGAAAGAAGCTGCTGTACCTTACCTTTGAGGCCAGCAGTGTCCATGTGGGTGCATTCTCAGGAAATACTGCTTACAGCTAAAGATGCATCAATTCAACCAAGTGTGAGCAATACTACTATGGCTTTAGCTCACACTGTGTTAGCAAGACCTCTACAGCCTAATTTGGGAAAGTTTTTTAAAATATTACAACCACATGTTGCAAGAACATGGGTTTTTCTTTCAAGGCAGAAGAGGAGGCTTTCAGAAGGATTCTTAAAAAATTTTAAGAGAAAACAGTTCTGATAGCCTGAAGGAACACAAGTCAGAACATGCAAATTCCTGCTAGCTGCCTATCTGCTTATGCTGTCTGTTACTGTGCAGCACAGCTCTATTTCAATGTGAAACACTAGGAAGCCTTCAGCTTCCTAATTTGTAAGAAGAGGGCTCAATCCTTCCCTCAGCCAATGTGCTGGCACCCTGGCAAAAACAACACCTTGCATAAAAACCACCATGAACTTACCAATTTGCCAACACATGCAGTCATTTGTTTCTACAAGCAGAGCACACAGCTAAGATGAGAAAGTATTTGTGTGCAGAACCAGGCAGAAAATAGGAACAGCTTGCTGAGCCAATAAACCCCAACCTGCTGCGTGAGACAACCAAGCTCAGACCTGACTGTGCTCCCTACTGTCCAGGGCTTGTCCCACCCCTCTCCCCTCTGCTAAGGGTGTTCAATTCACTGAGCCAGAACCAAACTGGTCACCTCTGACTGAACCACTTTAGTGCAACAGAATCCCAGCCTTTGATGCCAGGGATATCAACCCCAGGTATTCTTGACCAACAGGTAATTGCTAGCAAATTATCTCTGGTTGCATGCAAATGTCTCTCTCAAAAACAAAAGACTCCATCTGGCACTGGAACTGGTGTGAAAAGTCTGAAAGGAAACAATTTACCTACATTGCAACTGCCTATTCCCAGCTGGCATTTAAGGCTCCTTGGAGTGCTACTTTCCCAGTGCCAAGCTGAAACCTGGCAGGCCTGTCAAGTAGGGGAAAGTGAAGGTGGCATCAACCACCACCCTTTCCACCTCAGCTCATGCCAGTTTCTGTAGAAACACACCTCTCCCATCAGATTCCTTTTTTTCTATGCACTGCCTTGATACTCTGACTCACTTTACCAAGTGTTGCAAAAAAAAGTAGGAAATATCTACCTTGTTTTCATTTCAGAGCACTACTATACTTACCCAGGTCAATAAGTATTGCATGTTGTTGGGAAGTTAGTTGTTTCAGGAGTTCTTTATAAGGTATGTCCTTTGGTGGTTGTTTACTGGGGAACTGATGTTTAAGGTGGTATTGCTCTGCTAGAAACTTCCATATCTCCCCACGGTGGTGCCGTGGTACTCCTGAGTGAAGAAAGTAATTCAACCATTAATTTGTACTCCTACTGAGGGCTCAGCTACAGCTGAGCTAACAGGATTGAGGAACTGAAGATCTGTATCTGCTAGATATGCCAGCAGATTCCAATCTGCCACCTCCAGTGGACCAGAGAAGCAGATTAAACTACAGTGCTTACACTTCCTCAACCAATAAAAGACATCAGCATCTCAACAGGAGAGATTGAAGGTAGAAACAGGGTAGGCTGCCTAAGATTAAGATTAATGCTTACATCCAATAGGATAAGTACTAGAAGAGGCATTAAAAATTGCCACACTTGTCCCTGAGGTTATTTGCTTATCTCCCATGCAAAGTACACAGTAAAGCACTGCAATAGAACAAACTCACACTTTACACTAACACAGCCTAACTCTGGTTTTAGGATTTTTAGGCAGGTAGGATACACACACCAGTATAAACAGGTACAAATGAAATGTGATCTAGGGACTACAACACAGGCAGATCATCAGAAAACAAGTACTGCATTTCAGTTTTGCTATTGGTTTGCTCAATGACTAGTACATATAACAATGTTTTAAAGCTTGAATTTATTTCTCTATAAAAAGGATGATGTTACTTAACTATTTCACATAGGTAATGGCAGCCTCTATTTTTACCTATATGTAAAGCTTGGAAAGTATAATTTATTCAGCACAAGACTGACACTACTAAACCATCTACACAAGAAATCAATACACTATTATTTGGAAAAGTATTTTGCCTAATCCATGATGCACTGGAACCAGGTATTACAGTTGGAAGTAACTTATGATGTTAGGTATTTTGGACTTTTTTTTCCTCTGGAATACATGTAACACAGTTGGAAGTAACTTACGATGTTAGGTATTTTGGACTTCTTTTTTTTCCTCTGGAATACATGTAACATATGGAGGACAATAACAATAGGGGAAATCAAAACTGACTCAAGCATACAACTTTCATGGAAAGATAACACAACATATTAGCTTTTGATTTTGTTAGAAATCTAGACTTACCTAGTCATTTTAAATGGACAATTTGGTTTAACCTGCTTGTATAATTGCATAGAGTTAGGTGCCCTTGATATTGTTAGAAATCTAGACTTACCTAGTAATTTTAAATGGACAATTTGGTTTAACCGGCTTGTATAATTGCATAGAGTTAGGTGCAATATTTAAAATATTGAGCTTGTAATGGTCATTACTTCTTGACACTTCCTTTACCTGTTGGAAAGCTTTGTATAGAACTATAAAAAGGTCCCTGGAGTAGCCATCTTCACCACTGGCTACAGACAGCACTCAGCATAAGGCCTCTGGGACCAACCATGGCACAAACAACACTGAGTAAGAACCCAATTTCTTAGTACATTTGCAAAAACATCCTTAGGTTATATTACTTTTTCTGCAGCTAAGAGAGGAGCTGCTTGCTCAGCCCTGTGGTTGTAAGGAAGACTCTAAATGGTGTTTGCAGGCACAAGGTATTGTTGAACTCAGAGAAAAGGCAGTTCTGCAGAGATACACACATATACTGTTTGTATAAGACATGGCACTCAGTTTGGAACAGAGAATTTCCAGACAGCAATGCAGATGTTTCTTGAGTTATTTACACAGTCAATTCTTTGGCATTATCCAGGGTCTTTTTCTTTAATTGTAACTTTTAATTTACAAAATCAGATTGCATCAATTGTAATACATTGAGGGACTGTAAAGCTCTCCTGTAAGGACAAATTTTATTCAAACATGAATGTTATAGCTCCAGTAATACAACTGCAGCTGCCACCTCCAGGGACTGGCACTTGCATTCCCATAACCATGATGGTACCAAACATGGTTACTTGTTTAGCCAGCAACCAGCAGAACAGCTCCAGTGAGAATCTGGTTGTAAGGACTGGTTAAGAGCTCACCCTATTCCTTTTCTCATACAACTTACATGCACTTCAGCAACTTGGAATAACAAACTGTGCTTACCTTGCCCAACAGCAGAGTGTATTTTTTCCACATCAAATTTAACCTTTGACCTTCCAGGCGTACTCAACATTTTTTCCCAAATCAAAGTTACTTCTTTTAAGCATGGTGTGATTTCTTCATAGTCAAGTTTCAGACGTCTGTTCTGCAAATTGTTTTCTGAAGCTGGGAAGTGACATCAAGAATGTAGCAGTTAATATTGGTTACTATTTGTAAAATGGATTAACTTGCAACTTCATTAAACCCTTTTAACTCTGAAACATTACATATGTCAATTTTTGTGATTGTGAGGTGGGATTGGTTGGTTGGTTTGTTTTTTAAAAGATCTTATATGCAATATCAACAGTGTTTGACCAGTTAAATTAAGTTCCCTACAACTAGTCAACTCTTAAATATGAAGAAACACAAGAGATGATGACTAATGAAATAAACATAAGATTGTACTAACAGGACTTTTCAATTTCCCATCTCTTAAGAAAAAAATTAGTGCAGAAGCCCTACAGCAAATAAAAATACAAATCCTGTACAGTCATCTATTTCTTATGCATACAACTCCAAAGCACTAATAACAAAGTAAAAAAATTACTTTAAAGGTGATCATTCACATTTAACAGACTACATAAAAAGGGAAGTTCAAGTATAGAAAATTACAGAACCCTGAACACAAATAGGACTATAAGCACTATATATACATGAGACTCTCTTAAAATTCTCTCTCCAGTGAATAAGTTAGAGCCAGGGTCAATGCATATCTCAATATTAAATACAACAGTTTAGATCATCAGAGCCCCTGAAGCAGAGATGTACTGTAATAGTGATTTTTCTCAGGTTACAATTTACAAGAATATTGCACTGTATCTTCATGTGTTATCTAAAAGGGATTAAAATAATTAATCAACAGATGGGAAAGCATCAAAGAACCATGGCAAAAATGAAAATGATTCTGTAGTTGTGTGCAATTCCAAAGTTTGGAAGTGGAGTGAGAATTTCTAAGAGACTTCTGGTAAAGCTTTTGAGATTTGTTTCTGTGGGGGCATTTTAGTACTAGAATGTACCTGGAAAACATGGTTTATTAATGGTATTTATAAAAACTAAATAATAAAGCATCTTTTGTGACAGTGGACGAATTCATGCAGGTCTTGAGACAGAAAAAAATAGGAGAAAAAAGGTGTAGCTCAGATGAGTGAATTTGTGCAGGTCTTGAGACAGAAAAAATGGGAGAGGAGAAAAAAGGTGTAGCTCAGATGAGACAGAAGTATGTCAGTCATCTACTCCTAAAAGGATGAAAGAAAATTCTTTAAGGAAACCAAGACAAATCTACAAAGAGCACTAAGGAGTGATATATACTGTGGCAAGTTCATGGCAAATTTACCAAACTTAAAACTCTTACTCCTTAACTTCCATTCAGCCTCAAGACTGGCCAAACACAACATTGCAATGATCAATGCTTAGACAATGACCTATGGATGCAAATGTAGAAAAGAATTCAGTTCATGACAGTGATCATGCTGAATTCCTCGTGAGAGTTTCTAGACACCAGCCTAAAAAACCTCAGTCATGGTAAAGCTAAGAGAGTATCACAGTAAACAAAGAGATCAAATAAACAAATAATATGATGAAGTGATTAAAAAAGTGTCAATTATCACACGCACTAGTGAGTGCTGAGGGAGATAGTCTGCTAACCTAATTTACCACAAAAGGTGAACTTGTATTGCAGTAGGGTATAATCAAGAACTTCACCAACCTTGTAACTTCTGGTTTTCTTTTTCCATTCTGAGGAGCAGTATCTGCTGAATAATGGCTTTCTTCCACAGCTCACGAAGCTCATGGGGTGTTCGTTTCCTTTCCTCCTTCACTGGCCCAAAAGGTCCATCTTCACATACTGGTTCCAGTGGGGATCTGGGTGGAAGTTCTCCCAATTCACAGTAATCTTTAAAAAAGAGAAGCTGCTGTGAACGACTTAAATGTCAGAAAAAGGCAAATGAAGGCACACAGTTTGACAGATTACACACACACACATATATATACATACACACATCTACATAGATACACAAACTCACAGATATATATATATATCTGTATCTACCTCTACACATACACACATATATATACAAGAGGTAGCAATACCAAGCAAAGTTTCCCAAATGGCACTTTCAAGCAGATTTACAATCTGCTTCTGAGTAAGACACAAATGGGCCAAAGCTTAGAACATGTTTTTCTATAACCTGATAAAAACATTGCAGCACACACCAAGACCACAGCTTGCTAATTACAGCTTTACATGGAGGGAATCAAAAACAAAAGGCAAGTTTGAGAAATTACAAAAACATAACCTGCAGCTGAAACCTGGCATGACTCAAATAGCAGATAAAATCAAATACAGCACCCACATAATTTGAAGAATCATCTCTAAAGTGTGTTTAACAGAAAACACACCCTTAGCTGCACAAACACACCACCACCTAGGGCCATACAATGGGCTGATTACCAGATCTTAAAGTAAATAGGCTAAAAGGGAGACAGGCACTTAAGACATGTTTGTTTTCACTTCTAACTTTTAACCATATCATAACCTTCTGCACTTTTTCTTTTGGCTTCAGCTGGTCTACCACAAAATGTATCTTTCTGTCAAGCATGCAGGGTAATTTTAAGAAGGCTGAAAATGCCAGGAAAGAAAGTAAAAATTAAATAAATCTCAGGCAAATTTAAAAAATGTTTCTTTTTAGGCAAAGAGTATATAAAGCTGTTTTAAAACAAGTAATTGATGTAACAAGTGTAAAGTCTTTTACTTTGTTTGCTTAACACCTGCTGGAGTATCACTTAATGTTACCGATTTATACAACATCTCTGAAGGCTCAGTAGTCTTTGATATAACCTGTGCCTAAAAGAAAAATCACTCAATTCACCAAATTGAAAATGAATGGTCAAAACAATCAATCTCTTCCTACCAAATCCCCAATGTGAAGCCATCACTTCTTCACCCATGCAAGAAAATGCTTTGAAGTCAGTGCAACAAAAACCATTCCCCAGACTCTCCAGCCCAGGACAAGTACATCTGTGCCTGATATTTCAGACAGCTCCTGGGGAAGGGGCATT